CAGGGGCTCTGACTCCAGATCCTCGGCCTGTCCTTGACTAAAGACTTCAGCTAAGTTCACATAGAGAAAGTCTGTGCTTTGCCACATAAGGTGGCCCCATGTCCTCCGAGTGCTCAGGTCCTCAGGCACCTGCTGTGAGACACACTCCTGCCTGGCTTTTTAAGATCTCAGGTTTGTTGGGAAGAGAGACAGATGGTGACTCTGATGGAAAGAGACTTCTGTAGGGATCACAGGTACCACACAGAACCATTTTCTCTGTGATATCTGCACAGCCGAGTTACCCAAACCCTTCGTCACAAGCACCAACTCCAGCCCCGTGGAGGGCAAGGAGCCTAAAGCTCAGAACACAACCTACCTGTGGTGGATAAACGGTCACAGCCTTCCAGGCAGGGACAGGCTGGAGCTGTCCAAGGACAACAGGACCCTCACTTTACTCAGAGTCACAAGGAATGACACTGGAAACTATGAGTGTGGAACCTGGAACCCAGTGAGCACCAACCAAAGTGACCCTGTCTCTGAATGTTCTCTGTGAGTAACTCTATTCCTCCATGGCCCTGGCTGCCAGCCCCAATACACAGGGCCAGAGACGAGGCCACTTAGTCCCTCTGAGGTCCAAGTCCCTCATCCCTGGGCACCAGACAAGCCATGATATCCTTCCCCAGGCCCATCCAGGCAGCCCACATTTGTCTAAGGACCGCAGAAGGGGATGTGCTTGTCTGGAGAGGCTGGGGTCACCTCCTGCGATGGAGGAACAGGACATGGTTCAGAGTCAGCATCAGTGAACAGAGGGGGCAGCTGGGATGTTTTAGTGTGTGCTGTGCTGAGGATGGAACCCAGGGCGCACTGCCTGTTATGCAAGTGCTCTGTCACTGAGCTACATTACTAGCCCTGGTTGGTTCAGGCAGTACTGGGGCCTGAACTGAGGGCCTACACCTAGAGACACTCCACCAGCCCTATTTTGTGATGGGTTTTGTTAAGATAGGGTCTCACAAACTATTTGCCTGGGTTGTGTTCGATCTATCGTCCTGCTGATATCTGCCTTTTGAGAGCTAGGATTAGAGGTGTGTGCCAGAGCCACTGGCATGGTTGGGACTTTCTAAAAACAAGTTTGTGACATCACTCAGGGCTATACTTGTGGCTTTCTGTAAAGCAGGATCTTCCCTCTGTTGACATTACATGTGGCTTCTTTCCATTTCTTCCAGATGGCCCAGACAACCCCATCACATCTCCTCCAGACTCACATTTCCATCCAGAGGCAAACCTCAGCCTCACTTACCAAAGTAAGTGAAATTCACCTGAAATTCCCATCAGCTCTGTCCTGTGTCAGTCAGGGAAAACATCTCTACATTTTTACCTAAGCTGTATCCCTATGATTGATGAATTGGGAGGCAGGAGCCAGGGTAAAGGTCAATGTCCATGGTAGAGGGTGTGAGATTCCCTAGTGACCTGCAGCCAGCAGAACACTCAGGGGTCCCTCCATCCAGAGACTCAGGGTGGCCTGTCCAGGCCACTGACTTCTCGTCTGCCCAAAAGGCCAGTGCCCAGGAGGTCTTCAAGTCTTGGGACACAGAGTATGGCTGTCAGAGTAAACTTAGATGTGAGACCTAGGCTCAGACCCCCAGCAAGGTCCTCCAGGTACTGCCTGCATTCTCTGGCCCTGTACTCCCCATCTTTTTCCACTCTGTGCTTGACTGGGTCCTACTCCAGTCTTAAGCATCCAAGGGCAGAAGTGCAGGGCTCACTGAGTGACCTTTCCTGGCTGTGTGGTGATGGGACAATGTGTCTCTTCTTGACCTGGCCACAGGAAGTCCTCCTGCAGCCTCCTCCACACACCTGGGCCGCTGCTCCCAGTCCTTCTCAGAGTCCCTGAGCAGGGAGATGGCCTCAGGTCTCCTGACTCGGATCAGGCACCACATCCCACAGACAGCTCTCCCTGCACTAGAGCTCTGAGGATGTTCTGTTAATTCCTCAGTTTGGATGTCCTGGGATGAAAAGCAACCCACAGAATTTCATGCGGACATCTGGTCATCGTTATTCCTTATCCCCCATGTACAGAGTCTCAGATTAGACAAGGAGACTCCTCTTGCCTTCTTTGCCTATTGAGGCTGTGACAAATTGCCTCAAATACGTTGGCATAAAATACAACAGAAACCAACATGTTCACCTGGGTGTATTTGTCTGGAGGCCAGGGGACAGTGTGTCTCCTCACACACTAGCACCTGCCTGCTTTCCTGGGCTGTGGCCCCACTTTTATTTGAAGTCAGCAGCATGGTGTCCTGGAGCCCCTCTCTGCTCTGATCCCTCCTCACAGCTCCTGTTCTTCCTCAACTTTCCTGCCTCCCTCTCTCGTTGTAAGAAAAAGACCTTGATCACTCACATTTTATCAGCTGCATAAACCACAGCACCTGCCAGTTTCACGATCCCTATGTAATCTGTAGAGTGTCTTTTCCCATGTCACATGTTCACAGGCTCTGGGGATGAGGATGGGAACATCCTAGAAGGACCTTGCTGTGTACCGCACCTCTAAGGCCATTTTGTCATCTTTTCATTGAGTCCTCCATGCTTGGTATCAGTTTCTGAGATGACATCCACTGCACCCTCCAGCTCCTGTGAGGGAGGCAGGGACACATGGCACCCTAACACCTCCTCAGCTTCTTGATGCTACTGAGCTGTTAGGAACTAAAGAACTGGGAGGTCACTGTTTACCTGTCTTTCCTGGTCCTCAGCCCCACAGACAGTGTCTCAGGGCCACTTGTTCCCAGGCTGTGCAGCAGGGAGGAGGCAGTGAGAAGGTAGTGGGAGAGGTGTGGGAATGACGGAGTGAGGACGTTTTTACAGAGCAAGTCTCTGCTAATTGCTGGATTATGTGTGCTCTGCATGGGGAGAGACCTTGAGTTTGTTGCCATGTTCTATCTCTGTGCCTCTCAGAATACTGCACCCCAGACTGTGGCCTTGGAAGACTGAGAGCAAACTCTAGACTCACGGTGTTTCTGTCCCCGAGAGCAAGGGTGTGTATTCAGTGACAGAAGGCTTGTGCACCACAGGCAAGTGTTTGACCATCTGGAGTGCCAATTGATCAATCAAGCAATTCCTGAGATTCAGGACACTGTATTCTCCTAATAATGCCAGGATCATTTCATGATTAACTTCTTGCCTCGGTGTTTGACCTTTTAATCAGCACAGCACTCTGCATGGAGACCCCCTGAACACAGCATCCTGCTACATGGGCTCCAGCCTGGCCCTTGGGAAATTGAGCAATCTGAGCCCCTGGGCTGCTCTGCCAGCTCCTCCAAGCCTAGCCATGTCGCTGCATCTTCCTCATTCCCACTTCATCCCCTCCACAGAGCAACTCTGCTCCTACAGACCAATCCTGCCCTTCTAGGGACTCAGGCCAGTCTATCTATTGTCCCTGAACACCTCACACTCACACTCCCAAGTCACCCTGTGTGCACGAGGGTCACCTGTGTGCTCAGGTAGCCTCTGCTACCTTGCATGGGTCCAACTCTGCCCTCACATGACACATCTGAGTGGTACCAGGGTAATTGCTACTCTGTCTTGGAACCCACTATTTCTGTTGGGCCCTCCCTCATCATCTCCCCTGGACGTAGCCTCCGCTCCTGAAAGGCCTCAGATCCATGCTGAATCTCCAAGGTGAAGCACTCAGGAGGTAATGGGCACTAGAACATTCCACTATCAAGAACCCTGCTGCTATGAGCCTGGGGCTCTTCCCTGTGGCAGGCTGAGATCAGGAGGATCATGGTTGTTGACCAGCCATGGCAAATAGTTCAAGAGACCTCCATCTCCAAAATAAGTTGAGCAAAATGGACTGGAGGTTGGGTTCAACCAGTAGAGAACCAGCTTTGCAAGTGTGAAACACTGGGTTCAAACCCCAGTCCTGCAAAAAAAAAAGAGAAGCCCACCTGAGTCCTCTCCTCCCCAAGCCTGTGACACTGACAGACACACAACACAGCTCTTCTCACCATCCAGCTCCCAAGGTCACCCCCTTGCTGCTTTCCTCCCCAAACCCAGCTGCAGCAGGACAACTTACTTGCTGCTCTTTCTCCAGGAAGACAGGTTCCAGCCTCTGTTTCAGTATCCTCCTCAAACACCCAGTAGCTCAAAGTTAACCATCCACCTGCCATAATCAAATCCCTAAGCCACCTTCTCCCATAGGTGCTAATCACACCTCTCTGCCTCGTCCCATCTTGCCCCAACTGGCACCCCTGTGCCTCTAATCCCCAACATTCCCTGACCATATCAGATGGCACGTCAGAGAAGACCTTGGTGGTCTTGAGATAGCAGATGGAAGGTGATGCCTCATTACAATGAGAAATTTGATGAATGCTGAGGAGGAAGTATAAATCCTTACCTGACTCTGTTATCTGCACTTTCCTTACTGTCCACCAGGGGGCAACAGCTCCTCAGGCTTGGACCTGCCAAAGGGCAACTGACCTCAGCCTAGCAATGCCTGACCAGACCCAGTCAGGACTCACCCCCAACCCCTGTGCTCCAGCCTCCTCCATATGCCTCTGCAAGCTTTATTCTGAAGCTGTCACTCTGCAAACAGGTCCCTTCCCTCTACCCTTTCTCCCTCTCAAGGGAATGTACACTTGTCTTCAAGCCTCAGTCAAAAATTTCCTTGCCCTGCTCCCCAGGGCAGCTCTCTGTGATCCCCAGACCAGCACAGGCCCCAGCTCCCCACACTGTCCCTCTTACCCCTCTCTCGGTCATAATTAACTCCTTCCTTCAGTGTCCTTCTCACGGTGAGGTCTGGGGAGTGAACCTAACCCAAAGGAAGGGGAAGAGAGACAGGAGGCAGCACTGAGAGGGGAGGGAGCAGACAGGTGTCCTAGACACAGACTCCACACCCAGCCCATGTGACCCTGGGAAGAGCTGTTTCCCTGGGTGGAGGCTCAGCTCAGAGGGAGAAAGGACAGCAGAGTGACACCCAGTGCAGTCCTGCTTGGGAGCGGGTCTGGACCAGAAGCTCTGCTCCACAGATGAGGCCAGAGCAGGCAGTGGACATCATGGAGACCCCCTCAGCCCCTCCCAGAAGAATGGGCATCCCCTGGCAAGGGCTCCTGGTCTCAGGTGAGGAGATGGTTCCCTAGGAGTGTGCAGAAGGAGGGGAGCACAGAGACTGGCTGGGGCCTACTGGGGAAAATAAGATCCTGAGACTGGACACAGACCTTCTGCTTTGAGCTTAAGTGGACAGGACACAAGGAGTGACACAAGCTCAGCTACAAAAAACCTCTAGTGACAGGAATTGGAAAGGAGGGGAGGAAAAGCTATTCCAAGTTGATCACCACTGGCCACTGTATTTTATAAATTAATGTGAATAAGTATGTAAGGTGTCTCACCAAACAAAAATATAACTGGTAATTAAATATGTCTTACTTATAAACTTCAAATTGACAGATCCCTCTTCATGCAGTGCTCTGAAAACACTGGTTCATTCACCCACAGGTACATGGCGAGTATCAATCACTGGGCTCCAACAAGATCACACCAATCCTGTCCTCACAAAGTTCTTGTTCTAGTTCTCAATCCCCAGGGCCACTCCTCTGGAAAAGATGATAGGGCTCAGAGATGGACCCTGAAGGCCTCCCAGGGATTTTCGAAAACAAGCTCTGTCCTAGGAAGCCTGTGCCCATGGTGCCTGTCTCAGGTTTATGACTCCAGATGACCTGGGAGAACTTGGGGCCAGGGTTGGAATTTGGCTTCCTATTTGGGCTAATGAGGAGCGGTGAATTTTGTCTGTCTGTTCTCATTGCTCCCCAGCTCTGGTCTCCAGTCAGTGCACTGCCCCATGAGACACATCTGGGCATTTCCCTCTCCTGAGGCTCAGTACCTCAGACTTCTCCTCTGACTCCTTTATTCCCCTTGTAGGACTCATACATAATGTGACCTGCAGGACTTCAGAGCTCAGACTAAGACATTGCCGTTTATTGCTAAGAAATAGTCCCTTCAGGAATTGGTCTTAGATCTGGATATTAACACAATTAATGCAATTTGCCCAGTGTCACAATTCCCATCTCAGATGTGTCAGACACGCATGGCCACAAGAGCCTGAAGTGCAGCAAGTTCATTCTCCCTGCCTTCTGCCAGTCTGCTCTTCTGCACTTGAAAACCTCCACAAGCTTTGCAGGAGAGACACAGGGTCCTTATCTGTCCTCTGCAGAGGGAGCAGGGACACTAAAGCCTAAGGACAAGAAGGTAGTTTGAGTCTGAGGCCTGACTGTCACACTCACGCTTTTCCAGATCATTCCTTGGAATTATTTTTTTTAGGGTGCTTGACTCATGACAATCGCCATCAAATACTTGAGCAAAATTGTTCAATTTTGCAGCCCCAACCTTTCCACAAAGCCAAATGCTCCATGTCTGCTAAAACACTTGGTCCTCAGGTCAGGCCACGTTGGCTTCTCAGAGTTTAATCACATTGGGAAGTCCATCGGGACCCTTCTCTAGTACAACGCTGAAAAAGGAGTCTCAGAGGTCACAACCCTGGCTGAGCAGGGGAGGTCTGTGCAGATGAAAGGACTAGAATCACAGGGAGGCAGCGGGTCCATGAGGACCAGGAATAATACCCGGGGGCTATGACTCCAGGTCCTGGGCCTGTTCATGGCCAAGGCTTCTGCTAAGTTCACATGTGAGAATCTCTGTTTTTCTCCACGTAAGTTCAGGTGGCCCCATGTTCTCAGAGTGCTGAGCTCCTCAGGCACCTGCTGTGAGACTCACTCCTGCCTGGTTCATAAGAACTTAGGTTTGTTGGGAAGAGAGAGAGCGTGACTCTAAAGGAAAGAGGTCTCTGCAGGGATCACAGGTACCACATAGGGGCATTTTCCTTCTGATGTCTGCACAGCAGAGTTACCCAAACCCTTCATCTCAAGCACCAACTACAGCCCTGTGGAGGGCGAGGACTCTGTAGCATTAATGTGTGAGCCTGAGACTCAGGACATAACCTACCTGTGGTGGATAAATGGTCACAGCCTTCCAGACAGTGACAGGCTGGAGCTGTCCAAGGACAACAGGACTCAGAGTCACAAGGAATGACACCAGAACCTATCAGTGTGGAGCCTGGAATCCAGTGAGTGTCAACCGAAGTGACCCTGTCACTCTGAATGTCCTCTGTGAGTAACTCTATTCCTCCATGGCCCTGGCTGCCAACCCCAATACACAGGGCCAGAGGCCATGTCACTCAGTGCTTTTCAGGTCCAAGGAAACAGACCCTGTTCCCTGGGCACCTGGCAGGCCATGCCATCCTGCCCAAGCACACCTAGGTAGCCCAGATTTGAGCCAAGATGTGAGGAGGAGTTGTTTCTGTCTTTAGAAGCTGGGGTCACCTCTTGTGATGGAGGAATAGGACTTGTCTCAGACTCAACATCAGTGAATGGAAGAGGGGACAGTTGGAATCTTTTAGTGTGTGTGTTGTGCTGAGGATGGAACCCAGAGTGTACTGCATGTTGGGCAAGTGCTCTATCACTGAACTACATTACTAGCCCTGGTTAGGATTTTTAAAAACAAGTTTGTGACATCACTAATGGCTGTACTTGTGGCTTTCTGTACAAACAGGACTTCCCACTATTGACATCACATATGGCTTCTTTCCATTGCTCCAGATGGTCCATCGCCCCCCATCACATCCCCTCCAGTCTCACATTTCCATCCAGAGGCAAACTTCTGCCTCTCCTGCCATGCATCCTCTAACCCAGCTGCACAGTATTCCTGGCTTTTCAACGGGAGGCCCCAGTCATCCACACACGAGCTCATTATCCCCAATATCACTGCAAATAACGGCGCATCCTATACCTGCCACTGGCCTCAGTAGGACCACAGTCAAAAATATTCTAGTCCTTGGTAAGTGGATCCCTGGAACATGAGTGGCAAGCTCTGGGGTGGAGGCCTGGGTTTTCTGGAAAGAGCAGGAAGAAGTTCATCCCCAACTTGTGTGCATAGACAAGGGCAAATCCCAGTCCTCTTTTGGAGCCTCCAGCTCCAGTTCTGAGCCACTCTCCTCTTGCTTTTCTCATTTCTTATGGCTGACCTGGGATTTCAGCTTGAAATTGTGAGGAGCTGGATCTTCCAGCCCTACAGAGCCCCCAGGACCAGGCCTGCTGCCACCCTCAGTGGAAAGTGGAAGAGTCTATAAGGTCAGGTAGCTTCCATCTGACACTAACTGATCCCTTTCCATAAACTTTCTGTTTTCCTTTACCTCCTTCTTCATCTACAACTAATACCCAGGGCTTTGAAACACACTCAGGCTACTTTTCCCTAAATGAAAGGAGGAAACCCCATCAGATGGGGGATGAGCTGCTCAGAGCTCTCCTCCTGTCCCACCTGGTGACATGGCTCTGACTCCATGTGATGTGTGTTGGGTTAGGTTGGGGTGGACAGGAGACCTAAGGGGCCTGTGGTAAGTCTGGTTAAATTTTAAGACTAATAAGTGCCAGAGCCTCCCAGGCTCAGTTGTAGGAATTTGAGGAAATTGAGTCTCTGGACCAATGACTCTGACCTGTGTCCTGACCGTTTAAGGCTGTGGACACCAACATGTGTGATACATCACACAGAAATGTGAGGGACGCGGGCTTACAGAACTGGAGCTTCACCCTGGAGTCCGTGTGTGGGAGAGAAGATTCCAGGGAAAGTGAATGGAGCTCACTCAGAGTCATGTAGAAAGCAGCTGAAATAAAGAGACCCTTTCCTTCACTGGCTCTTTCTGTTCTCATGGGAACTTCTCAGTGCAGAAATTCACCTGAAATTCCAGTCAGCTCTCTCCTGTGTCACGCAGGGGAAATATCTAAGTTGTTACCACAACTTAGCTCCTGTATTCATATGATACAGGAGCTGGGCGACAGTAGCCGGGGTAAGGCTGGGATCCAAGCACAGGGAGGGGTGAGGTTCCCAAGAGCCCTGCAGCCATCAGAACACAGAGAGTCCCCACCATCCAGGGACTCATGATTGTCTGTTTTGGCCACTGAATTCTCTTCTGCCCAAAAGGCCAGTGCCCAAGATGTCTTCATGTCTGAGGACACAGAGAGTGGCTGTCAGAGTAACCTTAGGTGTGCTCCAGGCACTGCCTGGAACCTCTGTTCCTGTTTTCCCCACCTTTTCCACTCTGTGCTTGACTGGGCTCACTGGTCCAAACTTCTTCTCCACACTTAAGCATCCAAGGGCAGGGCTCCTTGCATTATTACAGGTTTATTATATGGACATTATTATAGGCTACTATAATTAAAAATGAGCACTTTAGCCAACTGAAAATGATGATAGACCGGGACTAATGCTATGATATGCCATCTCAGTTCACAAAGCTGAGCATTGTTCAGGACTTCAAACTTGTGACTGAGTTGTTTTTGTTAGTTGAGTTCCGTGTTTCTCTGAAACACAGCATGACGGGCCAGTGTGAGTAATAATGAATGCTTCTCCAAATTGCAAATCGTGGGAGATGAAGAGCAATCTTGTGACATGCAGACTCAGTTCCCACAGGGCCCTTTCCTGGCTCCATGGTGATGGGACAATGTGTCTCTTCCTGACCTGGTCACAGGATGTCCACCTGCAGGTGTGTGGAGGTGTGTCCTCCACCTGGGCCGCTGCGCCCAGTCCTTGTCTGAGTCCCTGGGCATGGAGGTGGCCTTACACCTCCTCATTCTGATGAGGAAATGTCACAGGAGTTTGCTGGCTAAGATATGGAACACTGAGACAGTTTAGCAGGAAGCAGCATTTTACTGTGCCAGCACAGACTCAGCGGACTCATGTCCAAAGGCTGAGCCCCAAGAACAAAGGGGTCTCACCTTCTATCCCCTTGCAAGCAGGTTACAGAAGCAAAAAGCAAGGTCTAGTCCATAGATGGTTATATTTAATTTTATTGGCTACTTTAGTGCTGCGTGACTTTCCCCTCCCTGGTGCTACGTGACCTTCCTCATGTTCAGATTCCTCAGGTTTTATCTCTCTGCTATGCCGTCCCTACCTCCCTGCTACTTTCTCAGGACTCAGGCCTAGTGTGTTTTCTTCTGATCCTCCTCCCTGTTATAGCACCACATTCTACAAACAGCTCTCCCTGCAGTAGTGCTCCAAGAATATTCTGCCAACATCTGTGTGTTGTCTAAAATAACCAGCAGATTTTCATGCTATGGTCTGGTCATTGTTACTCCTTGTAACAGATGCACATGGTCTCATTTAAACAAGGTCACGCCTCCTGCCTTTTTTACCTTGCAGCCAGGAGCCTGGTGTCCTGGTGCCCCTCTCGGCTCTGATTCATTTCACACCTCCTGCCCCTCCTCAACTCTCCTGCCTCCCCGTCTCATTGTAAAGAAAAGACCTTGTGATTGCTCACAGTTCATCAGCTGGACAAACCACTGAACCTTCCACTTTCATGATCTTTGTGAATCTGTTGAGTGTCTTTTCCCATGTCACATGTTCACAGAGTCTGGGGAAGAGGTTGTGGACATCCTTGAAGCTCCTTGTTCTGTGTACTGCACCTCTCAGACCATTTAGTCATCTTTTGCTGAGTTGCCCTCCTTGGTATCAGCTTTGCAATGATGTCCACTGCACCCTCCAGCTCCTCTGAGGGGGCAGGGGCACACAGCACCCCCACACATTAACTTCTGAGTGGTGCTCAGCTATTAGGAGCTAAAGAACAGAGAGATCACAGTTCACCTGCCTTTCCTGGTCATCAGCACCATGGACAGAGCCGCAGGCCCACTGGTTCCCAGGCTCTGCAGCTATTATGTCCCCTTCTCATTGAGGGACCTTAGGATCATTGCCATGTTTACCACATCTTGTGCCTGTCATCCCTCAGTGTGGCAGTGGGGAGGCTGGGAGCAAGCTCTAACTCACAGTGAGTGTTTTTGTCCCTGAGAGTAAGGGCTGGGTGTGTGGCTCGGTGACAGAGTATTTGTCTACCAAAAGCAGCTCCCTTTTCAGCCATCAGAAGAACCATATCAATCAACCAATCAGTCAGTCAATCAATCCTTTGTGATTCAAGACAATATTTTCCACTAAAAATGTTGGAATCTTTTCCTGGTTAACTCCTTGCCTCAGTGCCTGACCTTTTAATCAGCACATCACCCAGTGTGGAGACCCCCTGAGCACAGCATTCTCTCTCCTTCCAGGACACCAGCTATGTCCCTGGGAAAGAGAGCCAGGTGAGTCTCTGGACTGCTCTGCCAGCTCCTCAAAGCCTACCTTGTCACTCCATCTTCCTCATTCCCAACTCATCCCATCCACAGAGTAATTCTGCTCCTACAGACCCAGCCCTGACTTCTAGGGACTCAGGCCCAGTCCATCCCATGTCCCTGAAGGTCTCACACTCACACCCCCAAGTCACCCTGTGTCAGGATCACTGTGTGCTCAGGGAGCCTCTCTTCCTTGCATGGGTGCAGCTCCCACCTCACATCTCACATCTGAGCAGTACCAGGGTCATCTCTTCTCTGTCCTGGCACCCACTCTTCCTGTTTGGGGCCTCTCTCATCATCTACTCTGGACACAGCCCAGCTCCTGACAGGCCCCAGATCTATGCTGATCCTCCACAAGGAGAAGCATTCAGGGAGTAATGGGCACTAGAACATTCCACCATCAAGAACGTGTACTGCTGTGAGCCTGTGGTCTTCCCTGTCATCCTGGCTACTTGGGAGGCTGAGATCAGGAGGGTCATGGTGGAGGCCAGCCATGGCAAATAGTTTGGGAGACCCCCATCTTCAAGCAACTACAGCAAAATGGACTGGAGGTGATGTTCAAGCTAGAGAATCTGCATTGCAAGTGTGAAACACTGGATTCAAACCCCAGCCTTACAAAGAAAGGAGAGAGAGAGGGAGGGAGGAGGGAGGGAGGAAAGAAGGAAGGAATGAAAAGGAGAATCCTCATGCCTGTGACAGTGACAGACATAAACACAGCTCTTCTCACCATCCAGCCCCCAAGGTCAACCCCAGACCAAGTTCCTCCCCAGCCCCGCTGCAGCAGGTCAGCGTCCTTGCTGCTCTTTCTCCAGAAAGGCAGGTTCCAGCCTCTGTTGAAGTAGCCTGTCTTCCAGGCCTGAAGCTCCAATTTAGCCATCTGCCTGCCTCAAGGTCATATATCTGAGCCACCCCTCCCTCAGGTGCTAATGACTCCCCACCCTCTGTACCTCATCCTGTCCTAGTCACACCTGTGCCCTGGTCCCAAGATTCCCCTGAGCATCTGCAGGGATGGTGCTCACAGAGGTGATGGCTCACGGCCATGGCCAGATTTAAAGGGAATGAAAAGAAACTTGGGGTGGAATAAACAAGCAGCAGATCATGTTCAGCCTCCTTCTTCACTGCTCAACTGGACTGTGCATGGCTATCAGACAAGGAGATGAAAAGAAACCTCACGACGTCCAGTGAACATTTCCTTCTCATCGCCTCTTTTACCTGTGGGCAACACCGGACCCACATGGCTACCCCAGATGTAAGGCTCCACCATCTGGGCATGGGTAGGTGAGCAAACCTCAAACACCATTACTTGTAATTCACAAATACTCCACCCTCTGCAATGACAGCGTCCATTGCCATCAAATGTGGATAGCGCCACTCTCCCTCACAGTCAGGGAAGTGGAAACACATCCCTCATGCCTTCATCTCAGGAGGTGAAAATAAACAAAATTAATATCAGGATACCTCAGAAGATGGAAGAGCTCCCTGCAGCAGGGCAAGAGGACTCTGGTTCTGTGTAACCCCAGAGCAGTTCCTGTGCTTCTGAGGAGAGTGGAGGTCATAAAGTGTGACAGGTGTCTCTGATATGAAGCCTGGTCCTCTGCTAAGGTAGACCCCTGATGAGGTCTGAGAGGATCCACACATTCCCTGACACAGTGAG